ACCAGAAGAAAAGAAGGATTGGAAGGCATATATCCCATCTTAGTCCACGCCTACAATTGCACCCGTCATGAGTCTACTAAAGTGTCACCTTTTTATCTCATGTTTGGAAGAGAGCCTCGTCTACCATTGGACATTGTGTTTGGTTTAGGTGGACTTGTTAAAGAAGAACAGACTCTCTCCGACTACACGAAGGACCTTAAGGATCGATTAACCTTCAGTTACGACTTAGCTTCAGAGATGCTATCGAAAGCGAAGAGGCGACAGAAGGCCCATTACGACCTCAAGGTCAGAGGATTGCCTGTTAAGGTTGGAGATCGTGTATTGGTGAAGAAGCTAGCTTTTGATGGGAAGCACAAGCTGGAAGACCTTTGGGAGGAAGATGCCTGTACAGTGATTAACCAACCTAACCCGAATATTCCTGTGTTCGTAGTGGAACCAGATTCAGCAGAGGGAAGGACAAGAACCTTACACAGAAACAACCTGTTGCCTATAGGATACATTCCACACGAAGAAATGTCCTTGGATAATCTGGATAGCAAGGTTGAGCCTTCCAGGGAAAACACAAACTTAGCGCTCGCAGATATAGAAGACTCTGACAACGAGGATACAAATGTTTTATTGGCACCTTGTACAGCTGGCAGTTCGGCGTCAGATGATGAAGAAGGCGATACGGCAGTACGGGATCCGGATGACGATCCAGGCTCTCCTGTGTCTGCCACTGGTCCGCCTGGTGACGACCAGTTCTCTACTGAGGAGGGAGGACCAGCAGGTGATGCCAATAAAGACGTAAAACAAGATGATGTTCCGAAGTCAGTTGTGTCATCTACTGGTGAACTTGGGCAGGATACAGTTGTCATCCCAACTGATGATGTCTTGGACCAAGATGAATCCCTTACAGACGAGGAACATGTGTCAGAGCGTCCGGTGCCTCTTCCCCGAAGATCTACAAGATTTTCCAGACCGCCACAATGGCAAACTTCAGGTGAATTTGTAATGGGAGGAGCAAAGCCTTCGCAAGTAAATGTTGCTTCGTGGAACCTTAAGGCAAAGCTTTTGGAAAACTTGGCAAAGCAAGGTGTGTTTTCCAGAATTAATCCAGATGCTACCACTGCTTTAATCAGAATCATTTGTGATATATAAGCCTTAAACGTCTTTTCTTATTTTGATATTTATGTTTACCTTTGACAGTTTGTAATTCATTTTATCAGTGATTGCGACATTTTCACTTTATGTTTGTCGTGAATGATATTTGCTTTTAATCTATTTCAGAATTGAATATTTAGTGATGTTAATATGTAGTATGTAAGCTATTCTCTTTGATAAGTATATCAACAAATGTTGACATGGTGTGAATTATCCTTGTATAATTTAGGTGACGAGGGCGTCCCTTTTCCTTAGCGGGGGGAGGATGTAATAGGGTTAAGTTTTAGGTAATTTTTGGCCGCCGTTGTCTAGCGTCGCGCGGTTTGGATTTCCGCGTCGTCTGTGATCGTTATAAATGTATGTATATATGTTGCGTCTATATGTTTAGTTTGCCCGTGTGACGTATGTCCAGTTATTGTCTCGTTTTCGTTCTTTGGACTTTGTCTGTATTTGGCGGGTTTTTCAGTGGACAAAGGGGACATTGACCATTACGGACGATTGAAACCTCCGTCCAGATTATGAACACCTTTGTCCCGTAAATTTAATCATCTACGATCTCAATGATATCAGTCATTTGTCTACGATCATAATGAGCCCTATGTTACTTTAGGACCCTTGACCCATTGTTGGGGGTCTTTAGGGTTTAACCTAATAAACATCTGGGACCGGACCTGGTGTTCGCCCTCATGTTTTATAAAACCACCAAATTTACACCAACACCGTGGAAACACGCCATTGTTGCCCCCATGTTTAAAACATTTCATGCTCTCTGCAAAACCAAAGAGAAATCCAATAGATTAAATATTAAATATTAAGTCAGTAGATATTCAGAGAGGAGGGAGGGGGAAGAAGAGAGAGAAAAAAATGGCTTACATATGAAACTAAAATATATTTAAGTAGAGAGAAAATATTTCCTTTTTCATAGATGTTATAATAAAAAAAATAAATAAGTGAATACACCAATCATTAAAAAAAGGAAATTTGTCTGCGAGGAGAAATAATTATATAATACGTATATATTTAAGAAAGAGAACTAATGTTTCATGAGTGTAAGAAAAACTTGATGGCAAATCATATCAGTACCGATTGAAGCTTAAATATCACTTAAGTCTAATAATCTTCTCCATTTTCTCCATTTATTTTCTAAATTCTGCTGTGCAAGATCACTTTTCCTGTTAGCAATATGATTTTTGGAATGTGTAATACCCTTTGATTGAGTTTTTCAGAATATTTGGATTTCAGATTTTATGTATACATATTGTTATATATATATATAACTAAATCATGATCAGAATTTAATTAACTATCGAGTTTCCTTATAGCATTGTCATAATCTGAAGTTACCTGAAAATAAAGCTTTTCTGATTAAAAGAAAATGGAATCAATAGTGCATTAAGAAGAGTTTCAACATGAACCAAAAATTTCTGAGTTTCTCGACATTCCCACAAAGTATGAATTATTGTCTCTCTCTCCAAGTTACAGAGAGGACAGATAGGACTATTTGCTAATCCAGCGTTAAACAAATATGTATAGGATATGATTAGAATGGTATTAAAGAAAGTTATAGACATTTCGAAAAGCTGACAATCTCATTAACAAGAAGGAACGGAACGAAAAACCAGACGGGACTCAAAGTGACAACCTGCACCTTACTAACTACCAACTATAGTCCGGCAGACGGGACTTAAAAGCGGTGGTCTGTGTGAGAACTGTTCAATCTCGCACATAAAAGATCCTCCTGCGGTTTTCGATAAAAAGAGTAGGCGCCTAACGCCGCCCAGGCCCCCCCCCCCCCAGTAAATCGAAGCACAAAAAACATTCGGTATAACCCAATTTTTTACTCTATTAGAAAATGACTTGAAAGTTTCACATACAACTAGAAATTGTTGTTAACAATTTGGCGGGCTTTTCACTTCTTTGGCGACAAGTTGACCGGAAGTTGACATTTATCCTGATAACGATATATGAGAAAAGTTCCTTGTTTGTTAGTCTCTACAACATATCCAAAGATGAACTTTGAATCTTGAAACGTTAAGGAGATATAACTACATAATAACGAAGAAATACACTTTTTAAAGGTTCAAACATATTTGACCCCTGTGACCTTTAATGTCGGTCAAGGTTATTCATATTTGCAAGCCTCATAATGTAACATCTGATGATCAATATATCCCCAATATTAGTTCTCTAGCCCTTGTGAAACTTGACAAGAAGATTGTTGAACACTGGTACCCTATTTTGTATATTTGAACTTTGACCCCTTTGGGAAACCGGAAGTTGACATTTTGAGGGAAGTTTTCCTTATGACAATCACTAGGAAGTCACCACAGAAGGTTTATAATCAATTTTCATCATTGTATGCCTTTTAGAAATTGAGAAACTTTCATTTAACGATTTTTAGTTAATTGACATCTGTGACCTTGAAAGTGGGTCAATGTCATTTATATTATCAAACTTTGTTGCCATTTACATATCCTTCTTGTACATGAAATATCAAGCCTCTAGGCCTTCTAGAACTTGAGAAGTATTTCCTTAATAGCATTTTTCAACTTTGACCCCCTACCGCAAACCGGAAGTTGAATTTGAGGTACGTTTCTCTTATATCATTCGACAGGAAATGTCCACAGAATATTTATGTCCAAAGTAGAAGACTTTGGGCAGCTTAACAATGGAGAAATTACCATTTAATGATTTTTACATAATTGACCCCTGTGACCTTGAAAGTGGGTCAAGGTCATTTATATTAACAACATTGATAATTGATCAGACATCTTACACATGAAAGATCAAGACTCAAGGCTTAGCAGAACTTGAGAAGTTTGTCAAAGTTAGTAACCCGAAATTGCAGTTTTCAACTTTGACCCCTACCAGAAACCGGAAGTTCACCATTTATCTAAATTTTTTTCTGACGAAATATGTTTGCAGGGTTATGTTTATAAACTGCTTTAAGCTTAAGTCAATAGCTTGAGCCGTTATTGAGTCACAGCCATTTAGGTAAAATCGGATATGACGTCATGGCGTCCATTTTATTTTTCTGATGATTTTGTAAATGACACTAAATGGTAGAGGACATCTGGGGAAACCTTTCTGATATAAATAATTTCAAAAAAAGTCCGTTGGTAAAGATCTAGATCGAGTTTTTCCAAATTGTCGGCATTTTTAAAAGATCGAAGGAAATTTTCAAAATGGCATACAACGGAAGTGATAAACGTTACAGAAAAACTAAAATCACTAAATTCATTGGAAGGACATTCTGTATCGATGTGTTAAAGAAATTTTCAAGAAAAATAAAAAATGGAAAAAAAAATTTGTTTTCAAATTTTCAAATATTGACTCCACAGCGAGCTTTTGTATTAGACATGAACTCTGTACACTCAACGGTTTTCGAGTTACGGCCGTTTTAAAGTTTTTAACTTATGACGTCATAACAGCCATATTGGATTTTTGACCTACTTAAAAAATCTGCATCAATAATAATAATAATAATAATAAGAAGAAGAAGAAGAAGAAACATAACAAAAACAATAGGTCTTTTTACCAAATGGTGAAAAGTCCTAATAAATAAATATAATGAAAATAATAAAATAAAACAAAACAATAGGACGGCCTGGATGTTCGGCAGGACTGAAGACAAGGAGCCCGCTCCCCACTCCTCCGCCGGAAGTTCAGACACAACAACTCATCTTCAGACCAGGGAGTCGTCTCCTAAAAACACTGAACCATCACCCCATAGACGACTCCAACCCAAGAGGGGAGCACCCTCTTCACTTACTCGATTCACTCTCCGGTAGAGTGATTTATGTCTGTCCAGGAGACTTGCGAATCGAACGCACCGGGAGATTTTGAGGACAAACAATATGGCGGCCGATCATTACAATGCGGTAGTAGCTGTATTTGTGGGATCTGAAGATCAAATCGATGTTGACGAAAATGATGAGGAAGTATTAGACATTTTTAATAACGATATTTTCGTTATTAACAGTGTTTGTGCTGCACTCCTGTAAGTTCACACATTATATCATAAAGCATAAAACGCAAATATTCCCATGCAATTCCCATGATCAGTCTGATGATTGCATGAACACCCCACCCAATCTTATATTATCATCTTATCAGTGACATAATTATTATTAATTTGTATTTTGCGATAGCAATATCTTTTCAAAAAGATTGGTTTCTGTGAGAATGTCAAGGCATCTCTCTTCCCAAGAGAAATATGTAACAAGTTATGTTTTGCATTATTCATTTTTTTTTTTTTTGTTTAATTTTTGTGTTTGTTTACAGGTCTAGAGAGGATCGTCGTAGAATTATTGGGTATGTTAATAAAGTTGTTCCAGATTATAGAGAAGAGGAATTCAGGCGCATGTTTCGAGTCGGTAGGCAGACATTTGACATACTGTGTGGCTATTTTACAAATTCCCCACATTTCCCACAAAAGGAAGGATTTGGTGGACGAGAGCCTGTTGCAATAAAAACACAATTACTAGTCACCCTTTGGTACCTTGGAGGACAGGAAACTATTATAAAAATTGCTGATAGATTTGGAATGTCTGAATCTACTGTTATCATGTGCAGAAAAAAGGTAGTCAACTTCATTCTGGAACATTTGATGTCAAAATTCATTACTTGGCCAGTTGGCCAGCAAGCTCAGGAAACTGTAGACAAATTCAGCCAAAGAAATGGATTTCCAGGGATTCTGGGTTCTCTGGATGGTACCCATATTAAGATAAAAGCACCCAAACATCGACCACAAGCATATGTCAACAGGAAAAATTTTCATTCACTACAACTTCAAGCAGTGTGCAATACAGAGATGGTGTTCATTAGTTGTTTTGCTGGGTTCCCTGGAAAAACTCATGATGCTCGTGTGCTTGCTTGCTCAGATTTGTGGGACACTGGTCCAGAATTGTGTCAAAATTATCATATCATTGCTGATGCAGCATATCCATTGCAGACATGGTTATTGACGCCATACAGAGACAATGGGCATTTGACTCCTGAGCAGAGAAATTACAACTTCAAGCATTCTGCTAATCGAGTCATTATTGAGAGGGCTTTCAGCTTATTAAAAGGTAGATTTAGACGACTGCAGAACTTAGAAACCTGCCTGGTCCTCACTGCATGTGAAATAATAATGGCTTGTTGCGTGTTGCACAATATTTGTCTGCTTGAGCATGATAGTATTGAGGAGTTTCTAGATAGAAATGATGATGAAAATCATGATGGACAACCCCTCCCAGCACTTGCTTATGTAAATAATCAAGCATTGCTGAAGAGAAATAACATTGCAAGAAATCTCTAGATTAATCAAGAATCATATGCATTACCTCAATTCACCTCACCCATGGATTTTTGGATACATGTCAGAATTTGTATAGTTAATACAATGGAAAGTTTTTATTTTCATTTTCATGTGTATTGCATGTTATTCAGTGGCTCATTTTCAGTACTAAGCCTTAAATCTTATTAAATGCCTGAAAATCAAATCACCACTTGTGTCATTTTCATTTTTTTTTTTTTTTTTTTTTCAAATTTTCTTTTTTTCACTTTCTACTATTAGCCAGGGTGAAAATTATGCCATATTTAGGTAGAGGAGGAAGCACAGGTGAAAAACCACATGATATAGTTTCTGTCACTAACTTAAATAAAATATTTTGATGACCTTAGAATATACTGATCATGACAAGTCATCAATGACCTTGACATTTGACTGTAACCTTGATTCAATGACAGTGGACATGGGTCAGCTGGTTCCTTAAATTAATCTGTACAAAGTTTCATTATGTCATTAGAAGAAAATAATTAACAAGAGGCCCATGGGCCTTAACGGTCATCTGACATCAATGACATACATTTGGGTCAAGGTCATTCATTTGAACAAACTTGGTAGGGCTCCATGCCAGCATGCTATGGGCCAAATACCAACACCCTAGGCCTTTTGGTTATTGAGAAGAAGTTGTTTGAATGAAAACGACGCACGATGATCGACGAAACACTATATGGCTATAGGTCATCCTAACCCTTCGGGTCAGATGACCTAAAAAGCTGCAAATTTTGCCTCTTTCAACCACAGCGTGCAGAATATCTTGGCCATATTTCATGCTAATCTCACTATAAACAAACATTTGGGCACCCATTTCTTTGATATTGCCCTACTTACAGAGTTGCAAGTAGGATTATCATTTCTTTCTCCTCCATAATAAAGAAGAATATTTCAACACAGTTACAAATTTTAACTTGGCACTTTATTTTAACAAATAAAAAAATATAAAAACAAAATGTCGCTGTACAGAGCGAGACAGTAAAAACAAAAAATAGAAATAATAGTAAATACATGAAAAAGTAATTTTGAAAAGTATCACAAATGATTTTCATTGTAAAAAAGAAAAAATCAAGTTTCAATTACACCTACCTCATACAATTGTAATATACATAATCACTTATGCTGACTTAGCAATTGTATTGCAAAAATAAAAAGCTGGACAAAAATTGGGTAATGTATCTTCCTATTAGGATTTATGAGTAACAAAAAATATAACATTCAACATTTTCCAAAGATAAGAGTCTTTTGGGGTGGTTGGAATGTCTGACTAGAGATAAATTTTGATTTTGCTGGTTATCACTTTTCTACATATTGGGCAATTACTTAATTCTTTCGCACAGTCCATACAGGTGGCAAGGTGCCCACAATCCACTATGGCACAATCTGCATCTGCATCCATACAAACAACACACTCTGAAAAATACAAATTAAAAAAAGGGTTTTTTTATCGAATTTTATATTATGCTGATATGTCATTTCAGCATTATGCATGATCTAAAAATCATGAGATATATGCTGAAATTCAATAAAGCAAAAATGCTATAGATATATTTCTGCAGACAGAAAGCCCTATTTGGACAAATCTTGAAATAACCTGTACATGCTTGCTCTCATAAAATCCCACCATGATAAAAAGTAACCTTCTGATCAAAATATTTACCTTTTTATGATTTACTTTTTATTGCTTTTTATGGCATCAATCAAACTATTTAGGACCAATAAGCGCTCAGAGTGTTCCTTTTGCCTTCTCTCTGATTCCTTTGCTTGCATTTGTCTGTATTCGCTTTGAAATTCTCGCTGTTGTTCTGAGTGTTGTTTCAATAGGTTAATGATTTCTGAAGAATTTGTCTTCTTTGACTTTTGTTTTGAACTTTCATTGGAATCCGATTTTGAACATGAACAGTCATCTTCACCCTCTGTACTTTCAGAATCAACATCAGGAAGCTTGCGTTTTTTCACAGAGGATATTGTCACAGGGTTGACAGTTGGACAGTCTCCAAGGACATCATTTAACGCATCCTCAAATTCATAGTGCTTCTTGTCATTTCCACTCTTCTTGTTGTGGTCCTTAGTGTTTTTGAAAGCCCTAGTGATCGTTTTCCATCGACCTGATATCTGATCTGCTGTAAAACTGTAACCATGTTCTTTAAACACTGTCTCAATTTTCTGCCACAACATCTTTTTCCTAAGTAGTCCAGATGTAACTTTTGCCTCGTGTCGCTGATATTCAGAGATTAACAAGAGTGTTTGTGACTTGTTCCATGACATACATGTACCAGTAGTAGTAGATATACCTTTTGTGTTTTCTGTTGGACTGTGTTGGGACCCGTTCAAATCTGTGCTTTTAGCGTTAGTGCAATCTGTGTCCACAGATGAAACTGTAATAATACAAGGAAAAAATGTGTGTCAAATCAATACATGCATATATATTTACTATAATTATGTACACCTGACTCATAAAAAATACAGACTTCAGAATGTTAATAATTTCAGTTATCTCAGTATATAAGCTTATGAAATCATTTCTACAAAAACTGTAAAAAAACTTTTCTAGTTTTTCAAAAGCTGTAGTTTGATTCTCAAAATGAACCAAACTGTCATATTTCAACACAATATTATTTGTAACAAACTTACCATCAGCAAGGGCACATGCATGTTGGTTGTAACTGGCAACAGTAAAGAAAACTCCACCACATTCTTCACACAGTATTGCAGTATTTCTTTTGGTAGTTTCTTGGGGCTGTGCATGTGTAGACTGTGCTGTGTTAGCTAAAATAAAAAATACAGCTTCATTATGTTAGAAATCTGTACAATATAAAAAAAGACTCTAGTCTTGATTTAATACAGATCACAAAAGGCCTATAAATCAGTGATATTTTAAAAATCAACATGACCACCAGTTAAGCACCATCGTCAAAAGCAAGCTGCAACAGGACATTGCTTTATTTCTATTTCGAGTCTAAGTATACAGTGTAATTGAAACATTAGCCATAAGAAGTAACATAAGAATAAAAACTCAACATGTCACTTTGATATAACATGATGATTTTGTTTGTTTGTTTGTTGTGTTTATCGTCCTATGACTGAACAGCCAGGGTCATTTTGAGGCGGGGGCTCCTTGTAGCAGTTGGTGACTACCTCACTGAACAACATGCGGGCGGCTCGTCGCATGTCATCAAAAGCAATTAGGGTATCATGTCTTGCCCAAGGGCACAACCAACGACAGCACAGACCGGTCAGTCCTCGACTTCCCGAGAAACACAAACCGACACCGGCAGCAAGCGTCGAACTCGCACCTCGGATCTTATAACACGATGAAAAAAAAAATCCCAACAGATTTAGGCCATATAACAGTCAACTTACATAAAATATCACACCTGTAAATTAAAGCAAATTGGCACAGGAAAAAATCGTATAACGACCAAAAACAAAAATGATGCTGCCCGAAATTCCATACGACATGCACAAAAACAGCTGTCAGCTGATCCCGATATAGACACCAATTCAATCATTAGCAGATTAGACCTATGCCTATAGCATGATCCGTCTTATTATCATCATTTGACTCATAACACAAGCTAATTTACGATTTAAGCAAAGAAAAAAAGAAAAATATCTCGTTAACTCACCCTTTGAACAACTGTGTGTTGTAAAGGCCTCTCTAGTTGCAAAAAATATCCCGCAAGCCGCGCATTTAAAAAATTTGGACGCCATGTTTTTTTCTCTTAATGACGTCACTCTCCTCAACCACACCACCTCTTTCGCGGGAAGAGCCGGAAGATGTTCCGGACACTATACCGTAACATTCGATTGCTATTCCGTTTCTCCTGCAGCTCCTGGAAGAGGTTGCGCTTGGATATTTTCACAGATGGTTGCCCCATCGAGCTTTGTTGTCTTTCTGACAACCCTTGGTTTCCCTCCTCAGACCTAATTTTTCAGAAATAAAATCTGTAGTACTAATTTTCAAAAAATACTGGTCTAATCGAATATGTTCTCTTTAGTAAAATGCTGAACATTATGTTGCCTGGGTAAGGGGTGATAGAGAGGCACACAATGTCACCTGAAAAACAGGAGAACACGCCGTGTCAGTTCACACGTTTTTTAATGGCAACTCAGAACGAGGCTGCCAGAAAATCGATCGATAATATGTCACGGCATGAAGTAAGAGTTACCTCCCGTTAAACAGTAGTTACGCATTAGAACTTATTAAAACAAGTAAACAATGCCGATTGGATTAACCAAAAAAGTATAGGGGTACCTAAAATACACATTATAACAATTATTTTATACCTACAGTAGATTTGCATGTTTGAATCTCTTCGTACTGGAAATTGGTTCATGTGTTCCTTGCCTTTCAGTCTTGTACAGATAAAGCATGGGCATTATCTTAATTATTTTTTTCACATTGGTCTTCTCCCTTGTTGAAGGTGTTGAAACTTCTTTTTAACCATATTTGTGCAAGAATTTAGTAAATCTTAATCATATTTTTGTAAGAATTGAATAAATGAAATACAATACAAACATCAAATCCAAAGTCATATTAGATTAAGCACAAATGGAACGGTTTGAAATCTGCTTCTGAATTAGCCAAAATTTTGTGATTACTAATGAAATATTGCACTTACTGTGTTTATATGTACTGTGGTATTCATTGTTGATGGCGATGGAGATGCATTGGAATTTGTTTATGTACGTATTATGGTATGACAGTCTGTCAGTCTGAATACCTCAATGGAACAGCTTATTACTTTAGGCAAATGTGTCGCATTGTGACATGTCCTTGACACAAGGTCATGCCATCAATGCCAAGATCACTGTAGATTTGGATGAAATGTTCTTGTCTGGTCTGTATTTCTTACATAACTTAATGGAACAGATTCATACTTAACACTTATATTATCCATGATGTGTCAGTGGCCTTGACCTTGACCCAAGGTCCCAACAAACTTTGATAAGATTTTGGAAACTTAACACAACAGGTTTATTATTAGCTCACCTTGTCCGAAGGACCAAGGTGAGCTTATGCCATACCGTGGCATCCTGCATCCATCGTCCGTCCGTCCATCAACATTTGACTTCTCTTGAACCGACAATCGGAATTTCATCATATTTGGCAGAAAGTATCCCCAGGTCGCTGGGATTCAGATTTACACAAATGATTAGGTTGACCCCCCGGGGGCCTGAGGGACAGGGCTAAAAAGGGTCAAATTGGCTATATTCATATAATTGACTTCTTCTATGGAAACTATTATTGGAATTTCCTCATATTTGGCAGAAAGTATTCTCAGGTTGCTGGGATTCAGATTTGTACAAATGATTAAACTGACCCCCTGGGGGCCTGAGGGGCGGGGCTAAAAAGGGTCAAATTGGCTATATTTATATAATTGACTTCTTCTCTGGGACCACTGTAGTAAATTCAAATACATTTTGTAGGACATATCCCTAGGTGGCTGGGATTCAGATTGATACAAATGATGGTGCTGACCCCAGGGGCCTGAGGGGTGGGGCCAAAAGGAGTCAAATTGGCTATGTTGATAACATCAACTTTTTATCTAGAACTGCTATTGGGAAAACCCAAATGAGGTAATTTGTCATATTGCTTTAAGCATCTATTCTGGAACATATGCAAAGATGTATTACTGTTGGTCATATGAGATCCAGGTGAGCGATACAGGCCATCTGGGCCTCTTGTGTATTGTTTTAATTATTTAAATGTACCAAGTTTTGAATTATTTTTGAAATAAAATTCAGACAACTACAAATGTGACTTTCTAAAGTTCTTTTATTCCCCTCATCTGTTTGTCACACTTAACCTTGTCCTTGTTGCAATTTTTCATACATGACTGAAGGGATTTAATCAAACTTAGTGGAAAGGTAGAGCATTAAACCTAAATGTAGATGTGCATGAAGAGTTGGAGCCCGAAAGATGTTGTTACATCAGGAGCAGTAGGCTTCAGAGTGCAAGAAGTTGGTGAAAATGGGGTGATTTATTTATATTTTGTTACATGTAGAAAACATTACTTCTCTTCAATACTCCTCTAATCACGCTGACGAAAAGGTAGGGTATGTATAGATGTGCATGAAGGGAGATAATGTTCGTGAAAACTGGGGTTATTGCCCCACATGTTATTGCACGTAAAAATACTTGATGTCATTGTCGTCCTATATCACCGAAGAGAATTCAATCAAAGGTGAATAGCCAAAGCATTAATCCTAGATTTTCATTAATGGAGATGAATATTTCATTGTTCACGCAATGTTTTGCATTCTGACTTCTCCGCAGTTTTAGTACAACGTGATGTGTAGACAATTCTGATTTATTAAAAACAAATTGACAGGAGGTTAAATCTGCTGGCTAGTATGACTGCTCAAGACTATGATTGGTTTATCAATTTTTGGAAGTGTGGTTTTTTTTTGCATAGCAAGGAGACATAGAAAGAGGAACGAGATGTCCATGGCAAACAACCAAATAGATCACTTTGTTCGTCTGCGTTAGTCTGTAACACTATGGGAAAGTCATCCAAAGGCGAAATGTGTTCCTTAGAACTTTTGTTGAATTTTCCTTTGAATCTGTTGCATAGATTGTAGTAAAATTTGACAGGAACCAAGTACTCGAGATTCTCTACTCAAAGTGTCTGTAACACTATGGGAAAGTCATCCGAAGGCGAAATGTGTTCCTTAGAACTTTTGTTGAATTTTCCCTTGAATCTGTTGCAAAGCAACCCATGCCTCTGATTTGCTGACGCATTATCAACTTTATGTGTCGCCTGTGTAGGCAGGGATCCCTTGTCTGTCCGCCAATCCATCTGTCTGTCACACTTTCAACAATGGCTTATATCTTCTTTACCATACTTATCAGTGTTTACATATTTTTCATGCTTATAACTCTTGTTCTCCAGTCATTATTAGGATTTGAATGAAACAACATTACGCAAGCTCAAGATTTAATTATCATCACCCAAGGATGCAAATTTCAAGGAAAGCATGAAGGAGGAGTAGCATTTTGAAACAACAGTTTACGCACGACGACGGCGGAAGATGTACGCATCTTGACCCTTCCGCTATGTGTTTTACATGTTAACACACGTCCCCATTTCGGCACTTCCTGGTCCCCATATCGGCACTTCCGGGTCCCCAATCACTAAAATACAGTCTATAAGCCTTATTTTTTTATATTCAATTTTAAATATTTGTTTGAAGTGATAAGAACAATATTCTTGCAACATTTTTGAAGAAAAAATCGTTTTATTTCTCAGTCCCCAATTCGGTGTTTTGACAGAGTCCCCAATTCGGTGTTTTGACAGAGTCCCCATTTCAGGCCGTATGCTAGTGGTGGTGGTGTGTGTGTGCATTTGTATGTAATTGTGTGTGTGTATTTGAATATGTTTGTCTGTGTTTTTGTGTGGATGCGTCTATTTTTGTGTATTTGTGATACGTTTATGTGTGTACCTGTGTGTATATGACTGTTTGTGTGCGTGTGTTTGTAAATATGTGTATTTTTCCTATGCGTGGTTGTATCTGTGGGAATGTGAAGGTGAATATGTTGTATTACATGCATGAGTTTGTTTCCGTGTTTATGTAATCAAATGCGTGTGTATATGTGTATTATTTGTGTACGTAAATGTGTTTATGTTTGTGAATTTATTTGATTTGCATTTTAGTAAATAAATGTATGTGTAAATGAATATGTGTTTAGATGTGTCTATGTGTGTGTGTTTGTGATACGTTTATGTGTGTAACTGTGTGTATGTGAATATTTGTGTTTGTTTTTGTGTGAATGTTTATATTTGTAAATATCCTAATCTTTCGATTAAAGTCAAAGGAATAGTGTTTCCATTTAAAGAATTTCTCAACCCTCAAAACAAGTCAATCTTCTATTTCACCTGTCAATTTAAACATAGTCAAGGGGAAACCATTTGTTTTGTTTTTTTCGAAATTCTGCAAAAGCAGTAGCTGTTACTAAGTTGCAAATGAGTGATATTCCTGCATTATCGCATCCCGAAAAATTTGCACCCAAAATATCTCATATCTGATAATAAATAAGGGAAATGTGATAGTGTGTGTTTTATTTATTTATTTTTTTTTTTTTTTTTCATTTCGCGGTAATCCACTTGACGCTATTTAGTGACATTTCTAACCCTAACCCCATATTTTTGCCAACAAAGTAACGCCAAACGGACATTTCTTACCCTGTAGTTATTGCCATCGGTTGACGTTAAACAGACTTTAAAACATTTTCGAAATCAATAATTTCATGGTTCAAATGCGATTTTTGCCGATCTATTTTCACGGATGGCTGAGAATTCCACACTCTTTCGAATGAAAAAGATAGATTTTCGGAGCAAAAATTTTTTTCTACCTCTTAAAACAAGTCAGTCGTCAATTTTGCCTGAAAAACTCATCCATGGTCAAGAGGAAGTAATTTGATTTTTCTTTTCGTTATCACAAAAAAACGGTAATTGATATTTTGTGCAAATTTATGAAACCTTATGGTACACGATATTCTGCACAATTTCCACCCAACATTTTCTCAATCGGACAATAAATGAATTAATTTTTCTTACAAAAATGGCATTAAGTGGACATTTCTAACCCTGAAAATTTGCCCTCAAACGGAAATAAAGGGACTGTTTTCAAAGTCGTTTTTAGGTGGTTTCTGAGCTATCTATTTTTTAAAGTTGAATTAATGTTTAAAAAAAACATTTAGGACGAAAAAAATTTAAAAGCTATCTATAATACATCTGTAATAAATTTTGAAAGAAAGGGCTTATTTTGGATGAATCCATGTCAAAGACACTTCCAGGGGAGATAAATGATGTCAAATACTCTAACTCAAAAAAGTTCCCTATAACGCATTTTCTACCAAAAGTCCGCTTCACGCCAAAAGGTCCACTTCACGCCGCTTTTAGGTCATCAGTAGCGTCAAGGAGACAATTTCCCTTACAAAATGGCGTCAACCGGATTTCGTGAAGTCCGCTTAAGGATTTACTAAGGACCCTAACCCCAACCCCAACCCCAACCCTAACCCTAACTGAGGGTGAGGGTTAGGGTGAGACTGAAGGTTAGGTTAACTAAGCATGAAAGTAAGGTTCCATCTAGTATAAAAAGAATCCATGGCATCCCAAGATTAAGATTTTTATAATTTATTCATTTTTTTTTCTTGAACATATACATAACACAGATTAATATACTAAATAAGAACCAGTTCTATTTGTTGGGTGTTGATATTTATTCTCACCATTAACAATGACCACTGTCATCTGTAAATTAAACAAATGTACAACGTTACTTATTTATCGATTTAAACGTTATTGTTGCACATAAAATGTCAATTAAAACATAATTAGAATGAATTGAAATATAACACAGTCCAACACTTAATAACTGTAGCGTACCTATCAGGCCACCAAACTGTCTGTGCGATAAAATAGGCTGTAGTACCATACACCGTCAATGTTCAAATCGAAAGCGGAAGTAGTCAACAAATACTAAATGCGGAACCACTACTTGTGGAATCCGGATAAGTTGCTGTCACTGTTCAAAGGGCGATGATCCTCAATATACCTTTTTTATGTTATTTTTGTAATTGGCCGTCTCATTGTTAAAATGTACGTTGCTAAAATTATACATACATCTAGTATAGCGAAACATCCATGGAATCGCAAGATCAAGATTTTTTAATTTTGATTAACTAAATAGGTAGCAGTCAACATACCTGACTAATGATGAGAAACGATAATCATTCCGTCAGCACGCCATGAATCAATATTCCCATTGTTGTATGCCGACTAGTTCCTTCACTCTAAGCCGGGAAACATGTTAGACCAAAGATTAAAAAGAGATAACTCCGCCTCCCTAAGTCACGTGAGCCATTTAATGACATTGACGAGTTGGAAGGTGTACATTTTTACAAATAAAAACTCATCCTAACTCCGCCTCCCTTAGTCACGTGACCTATCTCATGACATGGACGAGTTGGTAGGTGCGCTCTACTCGTAAAAACTCCCTAACCCTAACCCCAACCCCAACCCTTATCCTAACCCTAAACCCTAACTCTAATTAGCATCTTGTTGTACGTTTGCTACGAAATTGTGTTTAAAAATCTATG